AAATTTTCTCCCTGACTTTTTGTCTCACTGAGTGCTGTGATTATCTCTGTCCTCCTACAAAGTATGTTATCAAAGTGAATAGCATATTTAGAAAGATCCTGAATTCACCACCCAGTTGTTTCTTCTTTAATCTCTTGTATTTCTTCCAAAACAAGATAAATATTAACTCTAATGCATAACATTGATCTATGACTAAAATATCCAAATTTTGTATTCTCTTAGGTTTGCTGCTTGTCAATTTTCGGTCTTTAATTTTGAATTCCCTTTTTTTAAGATTTCCATTATTTCTATTTCTGTCTGCTTAAAACATTTAGCTACAGAGGTCAATTTATACTCAAGTGGGGAGAGGGAGAGGCTCCCAAATGTTAGTTGCCCTTTTGCATTTGGAAAGCATCTGCTAAATAGTGAACATGCAAGGAGTTTTTGTGAAACTTGCCCTGGATGTTTCTGCTACCATCCTCACACCAATGACTTTAGGTGATCGCTCATGGTCATGACCAGGAATGGTGATCCTCTGTCACCAAAAGCACATGGAATCAGCCTAAAATAGCTTAGTTAAGCTCCATAACTTCTAGCAGGTCATGGGTTTGCTGCAAACATCCCAGCTGCTGCTGTTAGCCTGTATGGAGTCTATTCCCAAACCTATGTATATATCTATTCTTTAATCCATCTTGGGCTAATGAACTTTCAATTTTAGTATGTACTATATGTAGGTTCATCTTGTCATTATCTCTTTCTATCTTGCAGTGGACATCTGGATTGGGTAATTTGATGAATAAGGGATGTAAACATTCCCTTTCAGATTTTATACACTTGTAATGTATTTCCCTTTAACACATTTCTATGTTGAAGAATCCCACCACTTCTTTCTAATCTGTTCTATTAGATTTGGATTTAACTAATATTTTTGAGTTTCTGTACACTCAGTACCATGTTAGGTCCATTCTAAAATAATAGTAATAATGATAATAATAACTAGCATTTATAATAACCTTACTGAATGCAGAGCATTATTGAAATTCACAATTCTATGGGAAACTTTATGTCATTTCACAAAAAAACTTAAGAATTTATATTGTGAGCCTTACAATATGGATGAGAGCTTCAAGCTCAAGGCCAAGGAGCAAAAACCAAGATTCATATATCATAGACAGTGACCATGTAGAGCAACTTCCATCCCACTTAGCAACATTGCATAAATCCTTAGAAAACTAGGTTAGTTCTATTGGATGCTTTCCTCATATAGCCCTAAAAACTGGGTTGTTTCTAGCAGTTACACAGATTTTTAAAAGTAAATTTCTGAATTATTCTCCTACTGGTCTATTTAGATTGACACTGACACATAAAAAAGTTAATACAGTGCCTGAACAATACATAGTTGTAGGACAGCAACAGCAACCACCAAATATATAGCAAGGGTGGGCATATTTTGATTTTCATCAATGAGAGGATCACAAAATTCTATGTTCTACATAAATCATTACTACAAAACCATGGTGGTATCTCTAGAACTTTAATTCATTTGTTGTATTTAGTTTCTCACATTTTGGTTATGGGAATGTTATAAAAATACTAGTGATCTTTTATTGAAAGAAAATGTTTCATGAAGCAATCTGGAGCAAGAAACTGAAATGAAGCCTTTAAAATTATTTAAATATGTGCATGTTCAAATGACTTTTCCTTTCACTTTCCTTTAAATTCATGCCCATTTCTTTAGTCTTTTCTTCCAGACTTATTTCCCATCCTGTTAGTCACTTTGGAAGACCCTCCAAGTTCTCTAGTTCTCTCAAGCTGTGAAACCCAGAGGACACAACTTCCATCACTAATAAAAGATGGAGACTAAAGATTATGTTTTCTTCTTATAGTCTCAATTCCTCACATCATATCCAACAAAGCTCCACATTTAACACACTGGAGCTTTGTGTGCTTGAATTATACCACTTCACTTACCTAATCTCAAACCTGGGTAATTTTGGTTTTGCCTGCCCCTTAGAGGCAACAGCATGCTCTGTCCCCATCTCTGACTTTCATATTTTTTTAAAAATTATGTTATTTTTATTATGGTAACATTGGTTTGCAATACTGTATATGATTCAGGGCTATAGGTTCACACAAAGCACCCATAATCCTTCACTACAGTCCATTTGGTCTCTGTCCCCCTGAACACCCCCACTTTTACCCTCCCAACTGGTAATCTCCATTCTACACTCAGATTTATAGGCTTTGTTTTGGTTTAGCTTTGTCAGATGTTCACTTTAAATATCACCCAGAGGGCCTCCCCGGTGGCGCAGTGGTTGAGCGCTGGGTTGCGAAGCTGCCCGCGGCCTCCGCGCTGCTGGTTCGATCCCCGGCTGCTCCCCGGCCACCGGAGGAGGGTCCCACATGGCGCGCAGACCTCTCCTGCCGCCCGCTGCTCCCCTCAGCAGTGTACTTCGGTCCTTCTGCCTGCTTTGCTCCCTGCTCTGGCTCTGGTGAATTCTCTCACCCTCCCGCACTTCTGACTGTACCCAGTGCATGTATAGGCAAAACAAACAAACAAACAAATAAATAAATAAATAAACATGCCTCTATTAAAATAAATAAATAAATAAATAAATAAATAAATATGACCCAGATCATAACCTATAGAGTAAACCAAATCTCTAAGATGCCTCCAAGATATAGTAATAATGTCTCTGAGTTCTTTGTAGCATAGCCTCCAATTGTAGCTGATACAAATTTTCATGTTGAAATAACATCATCTTAAATGTACTATGCCTCTTGTTTTTTAAATCAGCAAGCCCTAACGTAAATTAATGTCATTGACAGGTGAGAAGTTTGGGTTGAATGAGGTTGATAGCTTCAATGACACAAACAGCACTGCCTCAACTCTTCTCTATCTGGAGAGAGGAAGGTAGAGACCATACACACACAAGATACCCACAGCTGTATGTGCAGATGAAGAGAGCTGGTGACTCTCAGGTTCATGCAGGAAACTCAGCCTTGAATCTCCAATAGTTTGTCTTCATCCAAAAGTCTGATTTCTCCAATAGTTTGTCTTCATCCAAAAGGCTGATTCCAACACTAAGTGTAATTTCACTTCTTTTTTTAAAAAATATGCATCAGGGATTTCTCAGGAGCTATTTGTCTCTCAAATATATATCTTTACTAGAATTTCACCAGATTTTAATTGAAATGTTAAGTTCAACTTTGCAAGCATGGATAATTAATAAACTGATTTCTACTTTTGATCTTATAAACCTACCGGTAACAGTTATGCATTATGGAGCTTAGTTACCTGAATTATAGTGAGGAGATACTCTTAAACCATGATAAAGTATAATAATTATTTTATTCTTGGCCTTAGAGGTTATTCCAAGGATAGAGATTTTTTAGAGAATTTGATTTTCAAATATTCCTGAAGTCAAAATTGGATCTGTCATTTTTAGTTTTTTGTGTATGCTTATTTCTGTTGCATTTGTTTCAGATTGCAGCTCATGAAAAGCATAAAAAAAAATTTCCAGATAGGGAGATGTTTGATCACATTTGATTTCCCCCAACATTCATTAGTATAAGAATGTTACATTTTGCCAAAAAAAACTAAGATGTTTGAGCTAAAAGAGGCTTCAGAGATTATTTATATCTCTCATATATTTACATCTCAAATATATTTACATTTGTATTTATATTTATCATAATAAATTTTGAATTACTTTAAGTAAGATACAAATTGGTAAATAACTTCTTGCTCAATTTTCAGAGATAAAAATGACTTCTCTGCAAAATGAAAATCAGGTTGGTTATCTTATAAAAGCCAATCTTGGTGAATTTTGTTTTGGTTTAAGTGCTAAAAATAAAGAGGAATATATAACACAATTTCCACAAATATTGTCACGTGAGGTACACCAAAGCAAAATAATAATGTAAGACTTGGGCGACAACCTGTTCTTGCAAGATTTGTAGACCAATTTTTCAAGATCAGAAATGTTTATATAAGCACACAAATTTTGGCTCTTCTCCCAGACTAAATCTCCACACTTCTGAGGCTGGCTCATCACTAATATTTATAATTTTTTTTACATTTCATGGGATGGACTCAGAGGCCTTTGAGATAGACAGGTTCCTACTCTGATGTGCTGGAGCAACTTGCTTCTGTGAAAGGTAGTCAGACGGCACTGGCGTTTTCAACAGGAAGGAAACGATCTATGGGTACCACGAGCCTGTTGCATCTTGTCAGTTTTGTTAGTTGAGAAACACCATTGGGAACCCATTAGTGCAAAGAGGACCAAGCTGTCCACCTGAGAGCAGTCCTTGCCAAGTGCCTCAGACCTGTGTTAAGCAACATTCCTTCCTGTAGGATTACATTTCCTTACAAAAACTTTTAGAAAAAGGCTTTCAAGCACATGGATCCTCTTAACACTTTATACTATGACCCATCATTATGCCTTACACCTAGTAGGACTTTATAGAATTCTCAGGGCCTCCCTGATGGAATTTTCAGGGGTTAAGCACCGCACTGTGAAGCTGTCCGCAGCCTTTGCAGCATGAGTTCTATTCCTGGCCAGCTTCTGCAGCATGAGGTCGATTCCTGGCCAGCTAGGGAGCAATTCACATGGTGCAGCAGACCTCTCCTGTCTTGCCCGCTGCTCCCTTCAGCAGCGTGTTTCAGTCAGTCTGCCTGTTCTGTTCCCCGCTCTGTCTCTGGTGAATCCTCTCACCCTCTGCACCTCTGGCCTGTACCCAGTTCTTGAATGCATGCATAAATAAATCTTTCAAAAATTATTTAAAAAAAGAATTTTCAACAAATCCACGCATTTTCCAGGTTGGAATATGTAAGACAAATATATATCCTGAGCTCTCTGGTAACATACACCTCTAAGGATCCAGTCATCTATTCTTATTTATCATTTTTTCCCCCAAAGTCTGGTCATTCCTAATAGTGCATCTAAAGATTGCATAATTATTGTACTTTCATTGCTAACAGGAGTAACGGATAAAAACATAGGCACTATTTTACTCACCAAATCACCAAGTTTTTCCTCCAAAATCATTATTGTCATATGCCCCACTTTAAGAGATGTATCTCCCTGGGTTATGAGTCTTCACTTCTGCAATGTTTATGCTCAAGTCTCTTCAATCTCCAAAGTTTTCATGTGCAATCAGGTTTAAGAAATCTGTCAGGTAAGAGAACGATGAATGAGGGCCTCCCCTGGTGGCACAGGCGGTTGAGCGCAACACTGTGAAGCTGTCCTCAGCCTCTGCAGCCTGGGTTCGATTCCCTGCTGGCCGGCGAGGGTCCCACATGGTGTGGCAGACCTCTCCTGTCGCTCCTGCTGCTCCCCTCAGCAATGTATTTAGTCAGTCTACCTGTTCTGTTCCATACTCTGTCTTCGGTGAATCCTCTCACCCTCCCGCAAATCTGGCCTATACCCCAGTTCTTTACAAAAAAAAAAAAAATGAGAGAACAATGGATGAGATAGGAGACCTGCTCTCAGAGAACTTCAAACTAATTGTGGAATCAAGACAAACACAAATATAGGCAGTACCACTTATCAGTGATCAATCACCTATTAGTGGTATTTGAAAGTGTTATTATTATTATATTGGGATTTGGATGTTCATATTAACTAAAAAAAAAAAGACTTATAATTGTTTCTTTCCATCAGTTCTTTAGGGAATGAGGGATATAAATGAGGAACATACTAATCTACAGGCAAAATCCAGGCTCAGGACCTGTACCTCAGCTTCTCCCAATTTTGACATTGCTGCTGTTCTTCCTGAGGTATATGTATTTTCTCCTCCACCATCCCAAGCAGTGTCCAAGTCTTTAATTCCTTCTTTTTCTACCCTGACCCAGAATAACTCTGTATAGGAATTTGATCTTCTACTCCCCAGATTTCTGTAGCAAGATTAGAAAGGGGCCAATTTAATAGATAAGTGAGCATAACTGTAAAATAATCCTGATTGGGGGGCTCGTACCCCAATTGGTTGGTTACCACTGAGTCAATTAACGTGGATGTTAATTTACAACATGTAGTTCTGTCACGCAGGCTTAGACTATTTGCAAAACAGCTCCCAGGTGACCCAGGGCAGCTCTCAGTAGTGAAACATTTAAGATGACAAATAAGAACTGCCCATCTGGGAGTCCAGCCCAAAAGAATATGCCCCATGAGACAAAGCTACCATTTCAAGGGAATAATTACAAGGGACTGCCGAACTGCCATAGCAATAGAAACTTAACCCAAGTGCTTTCAGGTAACTGGCAGCCCAGGCCTGGCTGCCTTCCATGGGCCCTACCACATGGCACTGTGTGAAGTGGGTGTTTTACAGCAAGTTACAGCAACGCAGCTGTTTGCACTAGAACTTAACCCAGGTATGCCAGACAGCTGTGCCAGAGCACGTCTTTCTGTTTCATTAATTCAAAAGCAACTCAAATAGAAAAGTCATTTGACCCTAACTGCTGGTTCAGTTCCTTGTCAAGAACTGGTTATTTAATTTTATTTAATAGAATGTCTTTGAGTACCAACTATATATTTGACAACTGGAAATAAAGAAGATACAGACCCTATCCCAAATACAAGGATATCACCCAAACTCTTTTTTTTTTAAGGATTTTTGTATTTATGCATACAAGAGATGAGATACAGGCCAGAGGTGCAGGAGGTGAGAGGATTCACCAGAGACAGCGTGGAGAACAGAACAGGCAGATTGACTGAAATACACTGCTGAGGGGAGCAGTGGGTGAGGCAGGAGAGGTCTGCTGTGCCATGTGGGTAGCTCCCTGGCCAGGGATCAAACTCATGCTGCAGTGGTTGCGGATAGCTTCATAGGTTGCGTCTTAACCCCTTATGCCACCAGAGAGGCCCCTCACTCCAACTCTTATGCAGCATTCTATCTAGTAGACACACACACACATACACACCAATATTATAACAATGAGAAGTGCAAAACTATAAATAAATATGAACTAAGTGTTGATAAGATTTTTTTTAAGGTTGTTTCTGACTACGATAGTTAGAAAATAGCTCCCAAAGGTGATGCTAATTGAACTGGACGTTGTGGTATAAATAGAAGTTCTCTAGGCAGAAAAGGAAAGGACCTAACAGAAGGAAAATAATGCACCAAAGTACAGAGACATAATATATGATGGGGGGGAGGGATGATTAATTCAGAGTTAGTGGGGGTCAAGCTTGAGCAGATGAGTCTGAATGAGTAGTTCCTGCTTATAGAACCCCGAGTGCCAAGCTAGAAATCATATCCCATCAGGAAACATGTGGAGCCCGTAAAGGGTAGTCCATGAGGTATTGGCAAAGTCTGTTTCCTAAAATCTTACTCTGGCTGGAGCATATGTTAGGGTTGCTGGGAAAGCAGCTGAGAGACTTTGGCAACAGTCCAGGAAAGAGAAAGCGAGTACCTGGAAGGAGGTGATCACAGTGATGACAATAAGGAAAGGGTAATTCTGCTTGGTGTGCTCCAAGAAGCTGCTATCGGTAACCCACTCCTTCTTCAGCTGGGTTTTGGTCTACATAGTTTTATTAGTGAGTGAAAAGAGCCATCATGTTCTTAGAAATAAGTGTTAATGGAAAAAATCTAAAGTGATAGAATTATGTAACATTAAATTTGAAAAATATCCTACGAGTTCTATTACAATGGTTTCATTTACCTATAAGTTATTTAGCTCATTAATGGCAAATTTCAGCCTGGAAAGCCAGGTCTCCGAATGGTAAGACACTGGACTATTTTGTGGGGTATTGTTATGGATTAAATTGTCCCTCCACAAAAGATTGGTTTAAGTCCTAACTCGAGTACCTGTGATATGCCCTTATTTGGAAGTATAGTCTTTTCAGAAATAATCAAAATGAGGTCATTAGAATGGGTCTTAATCCGACATGACTGGTGTTCTCATTGAAGAAGGAGATGGCCATGAGAATCAGGGAGAAAACCACATGAAGTTGGAAGCAGAGGCTGAAATTACGAGGCTGTGAAACACAGAAGGTCAAATATGAATGGCTACCACCAAGAGTTCAGAAAAAACAAGGAAGATTCTACCCAGAATCTAAGAAGGCATTCAGCCATGCCAACATCTTGATTTCATACTTCTAGCCGTAACAGCTGTGAGAGAATAATTTCTGTTGTTTTAAGCTCCCTGTTTGTAATACTTTTATGGCAGTCATAAGAAACTAATACAGATATTGTTAAGGTTTGAATGTATGTGTGTGTGTTTGGAAGCCCACTCTTAAACAGCTTCAAAGGAAATGTCTAATGCAGAGCTGCATTAAAGAAAATTATAACACGCTATAAACCATTTGGTTCATAGTAAATCTCATTTTCAGTTTTCATACAATGAAAAGATTTTAGCAATTAAAGTTTAAGTATACTTTATAAAGCATTCCATCTACAGTCTTATTTAATCTTCACATCATTTCTCAGAATTGAGAGTAGTGAGGGGCCTCCCTGGTGGCACAGGGGTTTAAGATGCAACCTATGAAGCTGTCCACAGCCACTGCAGCATGAGTTCCAACCCCGGCCAGGGAGCTTCCCACATGGGACAGCAGACCTCTCCTGACTTGCCCGCTGCTCCCCTCAGCAGTGTATTTCTGGCAATCTGCCTGTTCTGTTCCCTGCTCTGTCTCTGGTGAATCTTCTCACCCACCACACCTCTGGCCTGTATTCCATCTCTTGTATGCATAAATAAATAAATCTTTTTTAAAAAAATTGAGAATAGTGAGAAAACTGTTGATTGATTATCCCAAAGTCATTTAGTCATAGGGCCAAAGTCAAATTACAAGGCTTTCAGCTCGAAATCCTATGCTCTTGCCTATATTCTGCCCCATTAGTGACTGTGGTGAGAACAGCTTAAGGATAGGCTGAAGTTGTGGATAAGGAAGATCTCTATCCTAGGATTGGTATGTATGCACTCAAGAAGTGTCAACTGGAGATATTTGTGCAAGTGCCAGCAAGCAGTGCCATTTCTACGAATGTCCTATTTCCATCACATTAGTGATATAAAAATGTAAATATTCTAATTACTTCTAACAAACACTTATATTCCGAAAATTTAGTTGACATGTTGCAACTCCTTCTTCACTGTCTCTTAAGTCAAAGGAAATAAGTTTTCTTTATAAAAGGAATATTCATAGCCTTGGAAACAAAACCAACTCAGCTTCTTTTAGACAAGCTCTTGCTCTTGTCTCTTGCATCATCCTATAATTTGTTATCTCAATTCTTACTGTGGGGCTTTTGTGGTTGGTAAGAAAAATCACGCCTTCAGCAAGTGACACAATTCTGATTTTGTTGTTTTTTTGATTTGGAGTCTCATTCACTTACCTGTTCCCTTATTTTCTTATTGTCGAGACACTGGAGATAAGGTAGATAGTTGCAGGGTGAGATATCATTGACCAACAATTTAACAAAAGAGGAGGAATCAATTGGAAAATGCCATTTATCAGAAATTGATCAAGAATAGTATGCTGAAATAAGCCAGAAAGAAAAAGAAAAACACTGGATGGTCTCACTCATAGCAGGAATTTAGAAAACCTAAATAACAGACCAGGAAAAATACTAATTATAATAAAGTAAAAATCAAAATCAACAAGCAACTATAAATCAGCGACACACTACAGGGTGGGGTGGGGTTAGAAGGGAGTAGGATCAAAACAAGGGGGGGGGTGGAATTGTATGGGGACTATAACCAAGATGAAAATGCATACTTTGTGCAAAAATGAAAAATGATGTAAAAAATATACAAAATTTAAAAAAAAAGAATATTACGCTGATTGCAGGTGTGTGTACATCTGGCCAAGAATGGGGGGAGGAGGAGAGGAGTGGAGCAATTTCTGTGTGTACAGGTCAATGAATTATCAGAGGTTTTCTAACAGCAATCTTATGGGTTTATTAAAGCAAAAAGAGAGCAACATCCAGTCTCAAGCAGGAGGAGACCACTGTGCAGCAGCAGCCTCGGCAGCAAAGCTACCAGCTTTTAAAGTTTAGGGTCATTCTCTATTGTTTTTTTTTTTTTTTCTTTAGGATTTTATTTATTTATTTATACAAGCACTGGGTACAGTCAGAAGCACGGGAGGGTGAGAGAATTCACCAGAGCCAGAGCGGGGAACAGAACAGGCAGAAGAACCAAAGTACACTGCTGAGGGGAACAGCG